GAAAAAATGATGAGTTTGAAGTTTAAGAATTATCGCACCTAAAACATGGTAGACAAGTACAAAGATATGCAATCATATTACATGACTAGTATTGTGACTATGGAAAGTTTTAAGCTCTTTGACTATCTTGTTCACATGTTATTACTGTGTGTTCCTTATGCCATTTGTAGATTCGTACATATATTGATCCAATATTCATGTTAGACTGAATTTTCAAAGCTTATAAGCATCAATTTTATCTAGTACAAAATGAAGATTATTGGTTTCCTTATACTGGTCCAAATTTCATTCCAAACCTAAGTTTGCGATGTGAATAATCAGAAAGTCCTACTACGACATGCATTCACACTAAAATGGATCACCTAAATTCAATAAGCAAAAAAAAAAAGTTCATTTTGTCACACTGAGGGTTATAATCCTAATAATTGTCTACATCGATCATGATATTATAATATTTCCCTTCTAATATTAATATATTTCATTTTTAAGTAATTTTAGATATTTTTATTACACTTTTTAATTATATTAATTTATAATAAATGATAAAAAAAACACAACTAACTTTCATAAAAAAACATTAAATTTGCATCATCTAACACAATTTAAAAATAAATAAAAAATAATTAAACTCGTGTCATCAAACATGATTTTTTTTAAAGGAAACTTGTGCCACATGACATGGCTTTAGTATTAAAGTTGTATCATGTGTCACGATTAGGTGTCATAATAAGATTAACCCGAGCTGACCATAAAAGTTTGGAAAATAGGTCAAGTTAAGCCAAAAAAATTGTAGCATAAATTGAATCAGATTTATTTTTGCCCAACCCATTTAGGTCATGGTCTATATGGGTTTAGGTCAGCTAATTCGTAAACTTATGAGTCGACCTATTTTATAGAATAATAATTATTTTTGAAATAAAAACTAAAGTGATATTATTTTATTGAAAATTTTAATAAGGGATTCACCTATTCTAAGAGTAAATATTATAATAAGTCTCTAACAATTACTTATTTTAAGATCTAATTATTAATATTAATTACTATTTAAGATTAATAAATTATTAAAAAAAATAATGATAATGAAGAGTAAGTTTTTAACTCTTATTTTGAAATTGAATTATTATTCTCGTAAGGCATCTCAAATGTGAGTGACTTCTTATCTTAAAAAATGTAAAATATAATTTTGTTATATCATATTATTTTTAAGAAACTTATCATATTCTACTCTAATATAATTTTTTTTTAATAAATTTTAGAGAACTCATCCTCTCTCTCTCCTCTCCTTATTTAATTTGTTTTACTTATTTTTATAAGTTGCTTAGTGAGGTAACTATTAAAAAAATTTAAGCAACTTATTATATCACATAATATTCTTCAATGAAAAATTACTTAAAATTACTAATGTTTTATTTAAACATTTCACCAAGTAACTCTTATCGGAGATACTCTTATATATTAAATCATTAAATAAAAATTAATTTTATTAATATAATTTAAATTTTTTTAAAAAAATTATTTATTTTTATTTAGATAAATTTTTAACTTTTTAATCAAGATAAAATTGACTCATTAACCTATTATAAATCAGTTTAAACTAAAATTTATAGTAAAATGGATTAGATTAAACTACTATTTTTTTTACTTGACCTAGGTCATACTAGACTAAAATGTTGTTTGGACAACTCTAGCCTTAACAAAATAAATAAATAAATCATATTATATAATACAATTTTTCCTTACATCTTAGATGACCCGATTTATCCATCGTGATAATTTAAAAAAAGTTGCACCAATTTCGTAAGAACGACAGCAAATTGCACTCATTTGGTAAAAACCCCGTATGAATATTTATGCATCCAATTTAGAATTGGAAGCTACAAACAGCTTCAATTGTTTGTTATATCCTTACAATCCATAAAAATTTCACTAAATTTGACAAAATAACAAAATGCATTTTAAAAAATAAAGGTAATTAAATATACCAGTTAAATTATTGTAATAATTAGATGATATAAGAGTTAAAATAATCTATTTTTCAAGCAACTAGATTATTACATTTAAAAAACAAAGTGAGTGATTCTTCTTTATTACAGTAGAATTCTTTTTTCAGTTCAAATATTTGTCCATAAATGTATTATTTACGATAATCACATAACATAATATACTTTTTATACAAGATCGTAATAGATTCATAAATTATTTTCATCTCATGCAATTCAATATAATTTAACTTCATTTATTAACCATCTAATCAGCACTTATTCATATTAGAAGATGCCACTCTTCGAAAAATAATATTATATACCATGTTACTCATGTTCGGCCTATGTAGATTATTATTCATGAACTTAAGCTAAATTATGTAGACATCACTTCATTTTATAAAATAATAATTATTTTTTAAATAAAAATAAAAATATTATTTTATTAAATATATATATATATATATATATATATATATATATATATTTTATAAATTAGATTAATTAATAAATTATTAAATAATAATAATAATAATAAATAATTCTTATTTTAAATTAAATAAATATATTTTTAAAAATTTATATATTAAAGCATTATATATTAAAATAAAATTAATTTTATTAGTATAAATTAAATTTTAAAAACATAATTTTTTATTTTTAATTAATTGATTTAATAAAAATTTGTTATTATTAAAAAAAAATAAGTCAAACCCAAAATTAACCTAGACTAAAAAAGATTGACCCTTGTCAGACTATTTTCCTCTTTCAACTTCTAGGTTATTTGACTTGATAAATTAATAATTGTGAATGCTTTTTTCCACTTTTTAATTTCATTGACCAACATTACACATCCGCAATCTGCCAAAAATAAGTTTGATAAATTTACCCACGCTTTCGATAAATAGTGATTTAAATATTGACACCAAACACCCTGTATGATTATACTAAATAATGCAACATGCAAAACAGCAACTATTAGTTTGCCCATAGCCAAATGTGACTGGCTCTAATTTTCACTGGAAAAAGGCTAATCAAATTCAAAGGTACGTAATAACACTCAACTATGACTCATGCAAGTAGATTATTTAATTTTCGGCAACAGAGAATATAGATTGGATAACACTGAAATAGTATTTGAACTTTGCCTAGGGGTCATTTCTCGTTTGTAAAAATTCTTCCATACTCCTGCACCCTACGAAAAGTAGCAAACTGAAAACTGCTATACAATAAATACTGCAATTTAAAGGTAGTTCCACAACAAAGTTATATAAAAAAAAACAAAAAAAAAACATGTAACATTAGTATCTGAAAAAGTGCACAAGGGATTAAACCAGAAACAACTCCATACGACAATAAATAGGACTATCGTCACAGAGAACCAATGACTGGCCTTGGTAGCTTCACCTGCCCAGATAAGTTGATAACCACAAAGGTGGCCATATGATCATCCCCTAAAAAACGCTAACATACTCCTACAACGAAAAAAAAAAAAAAGTAATATGACCTAATGTATTTCTCACTTGCCATCATCCTCCTCTCCCTCCTCATCATCTTCCTCACCCTCATCGTCATCATCTTCAGAGTCACCGTCTTCCTTTCCCTGCAAACAGGGACATTGTATTTTATAATACACCATACAATTTGTATGAACCATCTCAAATGTGAAGTAAATATAAAAACAAAACCCAAAGGACATACAGCAATTGTCTCCAAAAGCATTTCATGAACTACATTTTAGTGCTGAGGTCTCCACAGAAATCAACAGTAAACGTTGAAAATAAATATCACAAAAGCACAAAACTAAGTGCATGATTTAATGGTGTTGCACAGACATTCATGATGGTTAGCAATGCTTCAATGGTGAAATCATCATCACAGCGCAAGTTGCACATTCAGTCGAGGCAAATCTCTTGCAAGAGACCATGAATGTGGTTATATCATGCAATCATGCTAGGTTAATGAAATGGAGAGAAGCTGCAAGTGTTACTTTGTGAGTGTAAACACAAAATTTGTCCACACAACAGAGAACGGTTGAAAAATATTACACAGGGAAAGGAAGGCTCAACAAATGCTAGAATTATATATAATTATTATGTGTGACTAAGACAGGCAAAGTACATGAGCATACATCAGAGGACTTTTATATGATCACATGCATGCAGGACAAAGTATTATACATAGAATCTATACACTCCAATGACTTTGACTCTTATCAATCGACCAATGTCCGGAAAAATTTGTCACTTTATAAGGTTGAAAAAGGAAAGATTAAGCAATGCATTCAGTTAAAAATCCTATTACAGTTGCAGGTGTCAAGGGTGCAGTCGTGCAGCAGCAGTTAAGTCAACAAGTGGACACATGAAAAAGCACGGGTTGTTGGTTATGTTGAGTGGAAATTGAGTGGAGCCCAGAGATAGATGAGGGTGGTTATAGAAATGCAGGGACAAGAGTGATTGAGAGAGGTGGGCTTGGCAGGATGTTGGCATCCACACCACTACTTGATCTTCCTCTTTTTGTTTTTCTTTCTGCCTTGTATCACTATTTTAGAGATGCTATCATTTTCTGTATCATTTTCGTGGTAATTGCATTGGACTTCTGATTCTCATCACCCTTCCATTAAATTTTGCCTCTTTATGTTTAATTTTAGGCTTCTTTTATTTTAATACCCATCTTTCCCCAAAACAACCACCCCCACAACTGTTAGTGCACAATACATATTAAGGATATAATCAGAAACAGTCACATTCTATAGCAGTATAAAACAAAATCCATAGCATTAATCAATATTTTTTCAACACTCCAAGAAAAATGCACATCAATTACCTCATCATCAGCTTCATCCTCATCAACTTCAACTTCATCTTCATCAGGTTCTTCCTGTTCCAATAAATCATTATTGCAGTTATTGTATGAGACAAGGAAAGAAACAATAGTGATGGTAAAATAAATTATTCAAACCAAGAAGCAAAATTGTCCCTAAAGAGAAAAGGATGTCAGAACTGAAAGTGAACTTACATTGTTGAAATAAGTAAGTGGATTTGGCCATAAATCATCCTTGATCAATTCTGCAACCTGCTATTTAGAGAGAAATATAACACTAAAATTCATACTACTCAAATACATAAACTACAGAAAGTCCATTATTGAGATATATACAAAATCAACAGAAAGGTTGCACATTGCACAACTAATAATACTAATTCAGAAAAATATACCTCATCATGGATGTCATCAATTTCATCTTTCTGCTCAGTGTCGTTAAACCAACTAAAGAAGCTGCACACATTAACAAAAGAATATGAAAACAACAAATATTTGTTTAATGAAGTGTTTATAATTGGATTTTTTACAATAATTTTTATACAAAATTATTAATTGGTAATTTATTAACAGGAGTGAAGAGTAAAACAAATGTTTTAATTATTCATTCAATGTAGAGAAAGTAAGTAAATTTGCAATATATACACACCAAGATTCAGTAGGGTAGAATCATACATTAATGAATTGTAAACAAATTGAATGACAACTATTCAAAAAGCAATGCCTATTGAGCTTTATTTGGAATAGAAACTGTTTTATAGATGGAGAAAACAAGCAGAAGTTATAAAAGAAAATCACATGGTAGTTAACCATTTATTTCTTACCAGACAAGGCATATCTTAGTTCCCTGAAAGACCCAGAATCCACAAATGAACTCAAACAAAAAAGGTACATTTCTTTCTTCGTTTTCAATTTTTATACACTTGACCATTTTTAGGAACCAACCTGATATCAGTAGGAGCCCGCTTGTTCCCCTTTTTCTCATGGTTGACTCCATTGGGTATGCCCTTCATGTATAAGGATCAGGATTTCAGAAACAAAACAAAAGCTAATAGAAACGTACCAAAAGTGACAATCCTAGCCTTACCTTGCCCTCCTTCCATTTTATGGGAGTGGCAGTGACTTTTGTTGTTCCCTCCTCAAGGAATGTATAAGTCTTTACAAGTTTTGTATCTTCAAAATAGGGATTGGCGTTGAAATTCTGAACAAAAATTCAAATAAAATATAAATGGTTACTATTCAATAAGATGAACTGTTCCTGTAAAACAAACTTCTTAAACCAACTGATTTGCAAAACATCCCCATGTAGGTATACACCAAGGGAAGAGGAAAAGCAACTTACAAAGGTGATTGAGTAGCCTGATTTGACATCTTTAAAATCTTCAACCTCAAGAGAACTCAAATACTTAAATATCTATCAAATAAGGGAATCTTTAATGAATTAAAATTACTCATCAGAAGATATCTGTAACCAGAGCAACAACAATATTGACATACTTCCACAGAACCTTAAAATGTAAGGCCCCAAGTAATTACAAAGAAGAAGAGAAAAAAGTAAACAACTAATGTACTCACTCAGGCAGAGCTATCTGTTTATGCAAAGAACATGTCAATTAAGAGAAAGAATTCAAAAATTTCCACCACCTAAGCAGCAGCTTTGCATTCTGCTTAAAGGCTTATATTAACAAGCATAAATTCTTGGGTACAAAATCCAAACTAGAACAACTTACAAGGGTTTGAAATGGCATTTAAATAACATCACACAAACAAGACCACATCACTTCCTAAATGCACAGTGGAAGACAAACTCAAACGAGTAAAAATAAGCCCATCCAATTCCAGTAAGTGTAAAAAATAGGTCAGACCTTCTGATCTTCCTCGTTCAAAAGATCACCAAGAGCAGGATGACTCAAAAACTGCAAAAGGGGAACAACAATTTCACAAATTAATAAATCACAAACACACACACACACAGCTTTATATATATACAATATAATGTATAAACTCAAACTCACAGCAGTTAACCAAAAATCAGGAATTGACTTGATAATATCATTCCGCTTGTCATAAACGGGCTTCCTTATCTCGTTGTACTTCTGCTCTATCTCGAGAACTTTGTCGCTGGCTTCTTCATTGATCTAAACCAACACAATCAACCAATAAACCAAAGCATACAAAACATGTTAATGGATCACTTTCCGAAACCAGAAACAGATAATCAAGCATAAAACTAATCACATTGGGCGTGTGCAACTCGGAGGCTCCAAAAGCAGACTCACATTTTGAACGTCACAAATAAACCTCGAAAAAGGCTAAGGGAGATCCGGAATCCGTGAAATTGAAAAGGAGAAAAGAAGGAAAGGGGGTGGGGAATTGAACAATCGATACCTTTTCGAGCTCGTCTTGGATCTCCTGCAACTTCTCGATGGAGAGGACGAGTTCTCCGTCGATTTCGTCGAGGTTCTCGCCCTTTTCGGAAACCTTCAACTTCTTGGTCCTGTCGGCCACCATGTCTTTTTCCTTCTTCGGTTCTCGACGCGACCTAACGCTTCTTGCGTAGCTGGTTCGTAAAACCCTAACACAGTCTAGGCAGAAGGAAACAGGGTAGAAGTGTAGAGTTAGGGTTTTGGGGAGTTTTATATGTGTTTCGTGCGAGTGTGCAGAGTGTATCGATAAATCAACTACCGCGTGACATCTGTCCTTTCAGGGGTAAATTCGTCGTTTCCTGTGCCCTTGCCTTGTTTGCTTCATATTGGATCAGCGCTAAACAACTTTTAGATATAATTACAATTAATTTTGTAAAATTGATTTTAATTAAAATTAATTTGAAAATGTAATTTATGTCTAGATTTTTATAATCAAATATTTTTATTATTAAAAATTAATATAAAAGTTATTTTCGTTTGAAACTAATAATATATCCAAAATTAATTTTTGGATATAAAATAACACATGAAAATTTACCTAAAATTGCGTTAATTAGTATTTTCAATGATCATGAAGATTTTAACATATAGTCAAACACGTGCTATGCTTGGGTAAGGATTGACATGAGTAACAATTTCACTTTAAATACATTTTTTTATTCTTGATGAAAAATTATAAATTCTAATAAGTTTTATTTTATTTTATGAATGTCTTATATTATTTCATAGTTTTAATAAATTTTAATTTATAAAAATTATATATTTAAATATGTGTTTGAAAATTTATACTTCAAAACAATTTAGAAGTAACTCGTGATTTTTATTTGAATATCCTTAAATAAAAAGAAATTAATTCATTTAAGAACAATTATAAGTTAAATCACTAGGGATTAATTTATCTAGTCAAACTACGTTTTGACTTAGTAAAAAATTTAGCTTCTCAATGAACCCCTTAAAATAAACATTGTTGTGAAAATTCACTTGAGCATAAATATTTAAAATATATTTTAGTTAAGTCAACTAGAGTCTTAAATTTATTCTTAGAAGATAAATGGTTAAAGGTAATCTAGTTTGATAAAAAAAAAATGGACTTCTTAATCAATTCTCATATTATTTCAAAAGTGTTAGGCCCAAATCTTGAAATCTTCTGAAAAAAAAAAAGTTAAGTTTATTACTTTCTTTTTCGGCTTCGACTCACTATAATGAACATTCTGGACAAACTCTTATTTATAGGGCGAAATTTGAAATCCACTTTAGCATAAATATTATTTATGATATTTAAATAATTCAAGTTTGGACAAAACTCAAATGATTGGTTTGATGGTGAAGTGAATTTTTGTTGATTAGTTATCTATCATCTTTCTTTTTCTAATAACATTTTACTTGGATTTAAAAGTCTTTAAAAAAAAAGACAATTTAGACATTATTCCTAGAAAATATTATCTTTTTATTATTATTTTTTATCAAGCTTTTCTTATTGTTTTCATGTTTTTTCTTTTTTTTATTCCTTTAATATCTACTTAATACGTTACTCTTCGTATGGATGGAAGGTTTTATTGAAGATTTTGAGACAAATCTTTCAAATCCTTTAAAGATGTTGGACCCTTGCATCTGTTGAAGGAAAAGAATAATGATAAGACAAACATAATTTGTTAAAGAAAGTAAATATGAAGACTCTTTTTGGGTAGATTCCTTCCTGTTTTTTTCTTTCAAACTTTTTAAGATTTCTCTTAATATTTAAGATAAAATATTAACATTAAAAAAGATGAAAATAAGAAATGTTGAGCTTGGTATTCTTCCATAATCCACAAGGGAGTCGTTTTTTTTTTAAATATGCATATTACAAATTTTATTTTATAACAAGTTGTATTTACTACTAAGAAAGTGTTTAGGAGTTAGCAATTAACATAATTCTTGTCATTTATTGTAAAGAGTTATTTTTCCTCTCAACAACATTATTTATTTTGTTATGAGATTATTAAAGTTTAAAGTTGTATTTATACCATACTCATCAATACTAAATGTTTTCATTTTCTAATTTTTTATGCTTCTAACTGAGACAATAAATATATATTTTTCATTTTAAACTTTTTTGCAAAACTTATACTACCAAAGACTCCTCCCCGTGAGATAAGAATTTTACCTATGTTTATATGGTATACATGTGTACCACATAAGTTAATGTGTAACATCTTAAGGGATCTTTTTATGTTTTTACTCTTGAAATGATTTTTTACTTGCTTGTTATTCATTCATGCTTCATATAAAAGATTGTCTTTGAATACATGACTAACAATACTCTTAAAACTTTGAACTTTTACAACTTAAATATTAATTTCAAGCTAGCACACCCACACTTATATGTGAGACTCAGTTATCTTCTTTGATATATATATATATATATATATATATATATATATATATATATATATATATATATATATATATTAGGCATGAAACATTCTAAGCTCATAATTTAATAAGTTTGAGGTTGTGACCTTCAGAGTCCAAAGTTATGAATCATGTATTTTTTAGAGTCATGGGGTGGAAGATCCATCATGTCCATAATCTTATCCCGTAAGTTTAATTAATGGGTCATGCTAGATTTTCAACCAAATTGGTGCAGTAACTTATGACATTATTTTACCTCTCCAATTGGAAAATATACATTTATCTTCCATGTATCTTAATTAAGGAAGTATGTTTATGATCTAACCATGTGTTAAAAGTAGATGACATGCAAATTTGAGAGGATTTGTCCTTTAAGTCTAGGTTAGTCAAGATTTAGGGTACTAGACAAATAACTCAAAGATAGACAAATTAGAATGGTGAAAAGTGTCGTGGATACCAATTCAAGTGACTCCACACGGGATGATATGATTTAGAGGGGTCAATATAATTTAAAATTTCTTTTTTGTAAATTTTATTTTTAAATTAAGTGGGTTAAATATTATAAGTATGGGTGGACCAACAATCTCAAGAGGAGATGATTGTTCATATTCTCATGGTAGAAAATAATGGAAATTAATTAGACACTTAGTGATAATTACTATTATAGTTTATAAGAATGTAGCCTTTAAATAGATTATTCATAATGTAATAAAAGACACTTTAACTTTATGGTGTTTTGAGTTATATGATAACATCGTTAGGATCAATTTCATGTTCGAGATATTGTTTGTTTTGACATTTTCGTTCATCACAGTTTTGTCCTTGAAAGGCGTCTTGGTCTCGACTCCTAAATGATGTGAGACTCATGAATGTCCGAAATATAGCCCCTTAGTTAAGGATTAAGAGGTATATATGAGTAGAGTGAGACTCGACTTTCGATCCCACAGTGGGTACCAATTTTCGTCTAAGAATAAGAATTTACAACTTTATATTTACTATGATAACATTGTGCACTACAAGAAAATCATTAATTACCAACGAATATGTAGTCGTCGGAAAATGAGTGATTACCAATGGAAATTACTGATGGATTTAAAGTATTTGTGGAATTTGGTCTTACTGACGGATATATCCGTCGATAAATTAACAATTAGTTACCCACAAATATATAGTCATCGAAAAATGAGTGATTACCAATGGACATTATCGACGGATTTAAAATATTTGTGAAATTTAGGCTTACCAACGGATATATCCATCAGTAAATGAATAATTAGTTACCAATAGATATATTTATCGATAAATTAACAATTAATTATCAATGGATATGTCCGTCGGTAAATTAACAATTAATTACCGATAAATTTAAAATATATTTTTAAAAATCAATATTAAATTAAAAAAATTAAATATTTAAAATTGTATAATAATTACAAACAATATTTAAAATATATTTCATCCAGTTTTTGGTCTCTCGTCTTCCAATGGTTCACATAATTCTTCTTTCATCCATCACGTGGGCCCATATCCATATTCATCATCACACACACATCTCTTTTTCCTTTACCGCTCATCTCTAGTACCCTCTCCGATTTTTCACCCTAATTTGGCCTCACATCCCCTCACTACAATGTCCCCATCCAGCTTCCTTCCCCTCCATCAACTTCTGTAAGAGCCACCATTACATAAACACTCTCGCGTGTGGCGGCCCTACACCCCAGCCATTTTGATGATTTTCACTCAAGCGAGAATTGTTCACTTGAACGATTGAATTCCCGAGAGCTTTAACGTATTTTCGCTCAAGCGAGTGTCTGCCTCACTCGAGCGAATTTTCGGCTGAAAATCTTCTTCCCTTTTTCCAATTTTTCTTCAATTAACTTGAGAATTATGATCATTGTTCTTGTACCCAGGTATTTTGCAAATTCATCCTACATTGGGAGATAATAGATTAAAATCAATATAATTTAAGTGGTTAAATAACAATTCAAAGCATAACTACATCAACTTTTGCCACTAATTTTCCAAAACAAATTTTCATTACCTATTGTCACTTTCTCTTTCAGAACCTCAACATAAAAATAACTTTTTTTCAAGATGTGATGCTCACAACTTCAAGTGAAAATAGGATACATAAGCATTAAAGTTACAGAAACTAATAGGGGATAATTAATCATCAACTATCCTTAGAGAAGCATGATCTCTTAAAAAGAGTGATATATAATCATCTCTAACTCTCACAGGTAAGTGTTTATCTCATTCAATCACTTCATTTAGATATTCCAATATTGATAATCATTTTCAAGCAATCAACATTTGTTAAGCAAGACTTGAATCAAAAGGTCTTTTGAAGCTTGTAATGAGGTTGGACTATCAAGGAATTCATTGGTTTTTCTATAATATACAAAAGTATTTGAGAAATAGAAATTATATGAATGATTTTTGTTTAACATTTTCTCAAGTCAAGTATCAAACTTCATGTTTTTGCTCTAACATAATGATAGTGAGTTGACAATATCATCAGTTATCATTCACACCAATTTGAATTTCCTTTTTCTTTCCTCATTGTGCATTTATCATTTCATCTTAGCCATAATATTTATGCTTTTCTTTCCTTTTTCTCTACTCAACCTTCTTCTTCTTTTTTTTTTTTTAAGAATAACAATAACAATAAGAAAAATAATAACATTCATAATT